GCTCTTGACACCACTTCTGCTCATTCCTCAACGCTCTCCATGCATGCTCCAAGTTGAACTTATTGTCGTAGTCAGCCTCAAATATCTGATGCGCAAGCTTAATGAGATCGTCATCATTCATACCACTTGACACCTGTCCTGCTGCAGCTTGGAAAGAACCCACAAACTTACAAACTTGCTCATTTATCTTTGCCCACCTTTGTTTAAAGTGGGTTGGCTCTCTCTTTTTCTGACCAGATATATTGGGACTTGTAGCATAATATGCTGCAATCCTCTTCCAAAAGGCTATTCCTCTTTGCTCATTGCCAATAATGGCATCCTTACTCGTGTTCAGCCAAGCAGAGATTAAGACTAAATCTTCTTCACTTGTCCACTTGTTCCTCTTTCTTGGTGTGGATTTAGCTTTGGCGCTTCCACCTTGACTTGTAGCTTCTGTCCATTGGGTGCTGTAGGCAGGGAGTTCAGATTCACCAAGTCTAATACTTGGTGATGCTGACTCATAAGTATTGGAGAAAGGACTAGGCGTTTCTGGTTGACTTGTTAACAGATCCATGAAGTTTCCAGAGTTGGTATATGGATTCATTTAGAGAGTGAGTGTTTAAAGAAAAGGAAAGAAAGAGTTTACAAAAGGAATGAAAGAGTTTACAAAAGGAATGAAAGAGATCTGCTGGGATAATTAAAGATTGCTGAAGGAGGGTAGAGCTAAAAATTGCTAGGATAATGGAAAAATTTAAGATATGGGTTGTGGTAGGTTACAATTATGGTTGAGTTAGCAATCAATACCAAAAGACTGTCCTAATCAACAACTATAGACACAAAAGCAACATTTAAAGAAACCATCATGCATTTAACACAAGAAGAGACGTTTACTTGTTAATAGCTAAAGAAGAGGAGACAATTAAAGACACAACCTCACCAAATAAGATATCATCATACACAAGCATTTATGACAACCCAACACAAAGCATGCAATTTATGACAACCCAACACAAAGCATGCAATTTCTTTCATCAAATATGACTAAGCTAAATCTAAATACACAATACAAACACAGAGAAAATTTTATGTACCTTGAGAAGAGTGAGATCAGAAGCTAAGATGTCCCTCTACAAGCATCCTCTAGCAGATTCCAACTCTCCAAGCATGTCCATATACTCCTAGCAGTAAAGCAGAGAACGTTTTATGAAATTACATAGATAAACTAATCAAAATCAAGAGGAAAACATAGAACATTTGGGTTTAATCATGCCTAAACTAATCACACATTAAAGATCTCTAAGAAACCAAACAATCATGCGTATAGCAACAAAAACTAATCAAACTCATGAGCAAAACTAAGATCTAACAGAGAATTACTCGAAACAATAATGTATAACTGATGAACAAAATAATCTCTACCAACAGTCGGGTTTAATCATGCCTATTTCGTGATCAATCAAGCCTCTCAATACAAACAGACACTCAATTATGATTCAAATTACCCAGATTATACAAAGAAACGAATAACCCTAAACCCCAATTGGACAAACCCTAAAATCCCAAATCCGACAAACCCTAATTTTGAAAACCTAAAATCACATCAATTCAAACAAACATACACTCAGTTATCGTTTAAATTACCCAGATTATACAAAGAAAACGAAAAATAATTTTTCCCCAATTCGTCAAACCCTAATTTCCCAAATCCGACGAGCCCTAATTTTAAAAACCTAAAATCACATAAATTAACACAAACAAAGAGAGATTCCTACCTTGACAAACAGATTCTCATCGGTTTCGAATCGAAACTCGACAGTCGCCTGAATTTAGGCCCGATTTCGTCACCTCCGATTCGCCGATTTTGTGAAAAGAGAGAGCCCTCGACAACCACCATCGCTGGGGATGATGAGGTCACGCGGCAACGACGGCCAGAGGTAAAAACAGACCAGATTTCTCCGATTTTGGGTTGATTTAACGAAATCTCCTTCGTTTCAATTTCATCGTTGAAATCGCGAGAGAGAGAGAGAGAGAAAGAAGAGAGAGACGGCGAAAAAAAGAAGAAAACACGGTTTCGTTTTTTTTGGGTTTATATATTTTACGCTTCGATCGCTGATACGCTGACACGTGTCCAGCTCTTAACTGTTGTTTTTGTTCCTTAGCTAAGGAACGTTTGTTAGATTAAAACAAGCTTTCTCATTTATTTTAATTCAACAATAGAGTTAAGATTTGTCTAAGAACCCCTCTATAATCCTGCTCTAATAAATTTGCGTTTTTTTAAAATAAACAAAAAAAGACCAAATTGCGTTATTGACCAGCAAATAAAGCAACGGACCGCTTTCATAATTAGAAGCATGTTTTACGTAGAGGTCCAACAAAAAAACGCACCATGTAATACACATATTTTTTTTGATTTTTTTTTTTTTGTTAATATATATTCCTGCAAAACGAAAATATATACTCTTCCTCACTCACACTATCTCTCACTATCTCTCTTCTCAGATTTGTGTTGTTTTATATTCTTTTCTTTTATATCGTTTTTATTTTTGTAGTTTTAGTTTTCTTTTGAATAGTTATTTTCTACAAACAGAAAAATACACAGGATTCATAATATAATTTACAATATTATAGTTAATTAAACCGATTTAGAGTTAAAAATTGACTTTAAAGTTATTTATATGTTAAATGTTTTAAATAATTGTCTTATATGTAAACTAGATTTATTTAAATTTTAACTAAAAATTGATCAATGAATATATGAAATTATTAAAATTGATATACACTTTCATGATTTTATTAAAAACACACACCATATATATATACTATAAAGTAAAGTAAAAATATCTTAACTATATTTTCTAAAAATCATATATGAATTCCGCAAATTATTTTTTCACCAATCAAATATTATATCGTACCGCTTATTTTACAAAATCGCACTTATTCCGCAAATACGTTTCTCCCGCACGTACCGCAGTTGAACCGTACCGCACTATAAAATCGCTTTTCCCGCACGATCAAATACGATGTTACCATTCGGACCCTAAGTTAGAACTGACGAAAAAAAAAAAAAAGAGTAAGTTAGAACAGATTATGTTACATTATCATTTTGATAAATTATGAGGTATATATATATAATATATGTGTGTTCAAATTTTAGGTTCCTTTGACGATAAAATTTCATCGTTTAGTAAAACGTCGATTACGAGGGACTGTTAGTGAGTGTAGTGTGTAAGTGATTCATCTATTGGGTAACGAACTAAACTAAGTTGTATGTGGATGTCTGGTGAAAACTCTACTTCTTTGACCATGTCTCATATAATGCCTAGTACGTACACGGTAAAAAAATAGTATTCGAGATATATATTTTTGCTTTGCTCCCATCATAAGTTATCTTTCAGTCGGATCATACGCATAGGTTTTGGATATCACGAAAGCCCGAAACAAAAATGCCAGAAGAACAGAAAATATTAGCTTAAATCTTCAGTGGGCTCACACATAAAGCCCATTATTATGCCAAATGGCCAAATGTGCAAAACACAGATCGAAAATTGTGAGGAACAAAAGACTTTACTTGTAATATAATGCTTCCTCAATGCTCATGGACTTGCCTTATTCACGTGGGAAAATCTCATATCTAACATTTCAACATATTCTTGAAATTTTGTACATTACTTGAATTATACAAACTTTTGTTATATAGTTTCAATTTTTAAGAATTAGTATCTACCAATGTTTTAGAAAAACTAACTCTAAAAAATATATTTTTTGGCTGACCGAATTGCTAGCATTTAGTGGTATTATTGATGAAAAACATATTGCAAAATTAGGAAAATCTGATAAGAAGAGAGCCAAAACTAATAAATGCAAATGGTCAATCAAGGTCTAAAAAATCTATTGAACTCTATAAATATCTAAAGATCGTTGATTGGACCGACGCAGAAACGTTTTCATCAGTATATTGGAATTGAGATTTTTTGTCCAAAATCGAATATTTGGGACATAGTAGGAAAGAAAAAAAAAACGAAAGCAAACCTACTAGGAAACGATAATTACTTCTTGACCACCAGTTTCAATGGCTGTTGATAGTATTGACCCTACCATTTCTGGTTCCAATTCTCGTGTGGCCCTTATTTCTCCTTGTGAATTTGTATTGTTTGTCACTATTATTATTACTAAAACTAGCCTATCGTACAAGACACCATTTCTGTTACACCAATGATAAATAACGTGGAATTGATTACATTTTACCAAAAATACAAACATTTCCATGGACGAGATTACACGAACTCGAACATTCTACAAACTTTGACAAAACGAAGGAAACAAACACTTACAAAGTCATTTGTCTAATGTAGTTTCTACTTTACCATTGGGTCCCTAGACTCTGACCCTAAACTCGATTCTAATCTATCATTTTCTTTTTGTCTATAGATTTGACTTTTCACTTATGTAACAATATGCATTTAATTAAAATATCATATGCTTTCTCTTTGATTTTCTTCTGAATGAATGAGTAACATTTGGTAACCTTACATGCATGGTAAGTTTATGTAAAAATGATTACAATTTCTTTTACCAATAAAAATGTATAGTTGAAGTTTCAATATTATATGCTTTAGTTGATACCTCAGAATGGTTAAGACTTGTAGCATAACAAAAGTACACAAAACGATAGCAGAATAATAGTTAAAAATAAATTACTATAACAATAAAAGATAAATTTTGATACCGCAATTATATTTTTTAATGATTAAAAACAATCAAAATGGTATGTATATAGCCACCTACCATTCAAACCCATAATTTCATATAGAACATAATCCTAAAAATGTGAAAATATAATAAAAATAATTATTAGACTTTCGTTTGTTACGGTAAGAGAAAATCCATTTATGTTTTCAGGACAAGAAAAAAAAATCCTAACTATGTTTTGTTTTTTGGCCATCGAAAGGGAAATAAAATAAACGGGAGATAGAGCGAGTAGACAAATATAAGCTACTCGCAGCGACAACCAGTCCATCATATTTCTCTGCTGCTGCTACTCTCTCTCTCTTTCAGCTTTCTTCTTCTTCTCTCAAGAGAGATAGATAGTTTTGATTCAAAAAAATCTCCTTCCTCTTCTTACTTCGATATCTTCCAAGTATAATCCTAATCCCTCTTCCGCTTCAACAATCAGAATTTGGGTTTGGCGAAAGATGCTAACTTTGAAAGTGGGATTAATCGTTTGAGTAAAAACATGCGAATTTTGTGTGATGCTTGTGAGAGCGCCGCCGCTATCGTCTTTTGCGCCGCCGACGAAGCTGCCCTCTGTTGCTCCTGTGACGAAAAAGTAACCAACTTTATCAGAAAAAATCTCATTTTCTTAGATTAACACTTTTATCTCAACCAATGCAAAAAAAAAGTTGAAAATTTTGAGTCAATTTCTAGTTGCAGTGCTAAATTCACAGATGTTGAGGTTATTGTAACTCGAACATGGCCAAAAGGTGTTCTCTAGTTGTGTTTTGATTGTTAAAGAAACATTTGAGTGATTTTAGCTTGTCAGAATTTGAACTTTGCATATAGCATCATTATCTCTGGCGATACACTCACTCTATTGAAGCTGGAAGAGCTATGAGACTTTCTTTTTTTTTTTTAATCTGCAATGGCTTTTATTGAGGAAGTGATCAGATATAAGAAAAAGAAACATTTTTTGTTTGTGTGTTTAGGTTCACAAGTGCAACAAGCTGGCTAGTCGGCATCTTCGTGTAGGCTTAGCTGATCCGAGTAATGCGCCAAGCTGTGACATATGCGAAAATGCACCCGGTATGAACATGATTCCTCTGTCGGATGCCGACATTTCGAGTTTTGACATGTTTTTTCTTCGCAGCATTCTTTTACTGTGAGATAGATGGTAGTTCCCTTTGTCTACAATGTGACATGGTAGTACATGTTGGTGGCAAGAGAACACACAGGCGGTTTCTGTTGCTGAGACAGAGAATTGAGGTTCGACTTTTGAAAAATCCAGGATCTTGAAGCATTTTTGATATGTGATATTGACTCTTCTTTACAATGTTGTTTCTTGTAGTTCCCAGGCGATAAGCCTAATCACGCCGACCAACTGGGATTACGGTGTCAAAAGGTTTCCTCTGCTCGCGGTCAAGAATCAAATGGAAATGGTGATCATGATCATAATATGATCGATCTTAACTCCAATCCTCAAAGAGTACACGAGCCTGGATCAAATCACCAAGTACGTGTATCTTATTATCTAGATGAACATAATCAATCTTGCCTCAATGTCTCTAAGTGGTCTCTAAAACTGGTTTGTTTGTTTGTTTGTTTCAAGGAGGAGGGTATTGATGTAAATAACGAGACTGAAAAGTGATCACAGATACACAAGATCAAGTAAGAACCTATACAAGAGCACTATCTTTATAGGTTGTTTTGAAGAAATTAGCTTTAGAGGAAACAAATAAGTTGTTTACTGAATTTCTTCTCTTTTTCTTTCTTTTGTGAAATGATCAATTAGATAACAAAGCTTGGAAGAGATAGTGGATAACGATTCTTCAGAGTTATATATCTCAAATATATGATTTTCTCTCCTCTCACATTCAGAAAAAGCTTTAATAGAAAGTAGTAAAATCTTGATAATTAAAGAAGGATGCCTTCTTGGCTCGGTTTAAGTGATCACCATGAGCCATGGCTATGATCTTCTTCTTCTCTCTCTTTGCCTAGTTTTCTTAACTCTGAGCTCACTCTGTTTTTGGATTTTTGTGTTATAAAGATGACTAGTTTGAGAGTCATATGTATGACCTTGAACTGCAATCTCTCATTACTCAAGTCTCAATATGCTGTTTTGATGTTTCTCGCTTCATTTTTTCTTGGATATAAACTTAGGATTTTCATATCTTGAACATAATGCTTGGTCTTTTGTAATGTCATTTTCTTGTATGAGATGTTGTGATTTTTGAGCTCAGAGAGCATAATGTTATTATCATTATACTTGTTTCATAACTAGTAAAGCCAGAGCTTTTGAATTCTTAGTAGTAACGAGTATACAAAGATAGCAGAAAACGATCATATTAAACCATGAAGAAACAAAACTAGTCTCACATGACGACACATAACTGACTTCTATACCCCTTATAATGAAGAAGAGTATATAATAATAACTCAAATCACCAGAATCAAGCTCAAGTTTTTGAGTTTTGATCTATGGAACCATTATTACAAATAGCTTAGTAGGTGTAGCCTTTTACAAACATACCCTCCTTGGCTTCCTCGGACTCGCCTTCTCCTGTGTATTTCCCGAGCTGAGCCAGCGAATTGGCTTTGGCTCTGGCCAAGAGAATGTCCTGAGCCGCCTTCACGTTCTCTTCCCTGCCTCCCCATGTCTTCAAGCAAGTGTTCTGCAAGGCACGTGCGTATGAGAAGGACACGTGCCATGGGTTCGGTGCCTGGTTCATTGCGTTTAAGTTCAATGTCGCCTCCAACTCGGACTGTCCACCAGACAAGAACTGTATACAATAGATAAACAATCAATTTACTGCTTCTTCATATCTCAAGCATAGTTTCTTCAGCTGTAAAACTTTGACAGTAAAAGAGAAAACTTGCCATAATTCCAGGGACAGCGGGAGGGATTCTGTTGCGAAGGAGCTTGAGAGTGTAGGAAGCAACCTGCTCGGGAGTAGCTCTGTCTGTAGCCTCAGCGCCTGGAGTAACCATGCTCGGCTTCAGGAGAATACCTTCGAACATGACGTTGTTCTGAGCGAGGTAGAAGAAGACCTCAGCCCAAACCTTCTCTGCAACCTCGTATGTCCTGTCAATGCCGTGTTCTCCGTCCAACAGAATCTCTGGCTCCACAATCGGCACCAGACCACTGTCCTGTAGAACACAAACTCAAACGGGATAAGTATATACAAAACAACAATGTAGAACATAATAGCAGTGCGGTTTCAAATAGATAGTACCTGAGAAATAGCGGCGTAGCGAGCAAGTCCCCAAGCTGCTTCTTTAACAGCCAAAGCAGAGGGTCCATTTGGAATGCTCACAACAGTACGCCTAATAATACATACAGACATGGAGCTCAATCAAAACACCATTTGACATACATATGGTATTGACTATGCAATCATCAGAGTATGTATTAACGTACCATTTGGCGAAACGAGCACCTTGTTGGTAGTAAGCAGCGGTATGAGAGGCTAAACCGTCAAGTCCTTGGCACCATGACTCGTCGTTAGACCCAACAAGTGGCACCAAACCCTGTTTTCATAAAGACACTCATATATAGATTCCATTTAAACTGAACCAAACCCGAACCAAATCTTGACCGGGCATAAAATTTCGGTTCTACTTGGAATTCATCTCCCAAATCTTGAAACCCGACAAACGGAACCAAATCTAAAGTTGAGACATTTTCAATCGAACCATATCAATCAAAACTAAACCAGATTTTGTTTGTAAACCGATCAAACGAATGAACCAAACTGAAATTCCAACTCGGTAAGGATATACCGGACCTAAACCGAAATGCATAAACCTAGCTAGGTTTACTACATACATACAATACATACCTTGTCGACTTTGATGCCAGGGACGATGTTCTGCTCAACGAGAACATCAACCATTTTCTTGCCGTCGGTGGTGGATTGGTACAAAGTCTCCTCGAACAGGATAGCTCCGGAGATGTACTGTCCTAGTCCTGGAGCCGACACAAGCAACGTCCGGTAAGCTTGACGGTTAGCCTCCGTGTTCTCTAGCCCAATTGACGCCAAACGCTTTCCACAAGTCGCGTTTGACTCATCCATCGCCATAATTCCGTGTCCCGGAGACGCGATTGTTTTCTGCAAAACATATCTGAATCATTAACCATTGAAATGAAAATGAAAATGAAATGGATAAATATATTTTGATTATATAATTAATATTACAGCTGTTTTGACGAGTTCATCGGCGTAAGCAGAAGCGGCACGGACGGTGAGAGAGGAAGGTGCCACGTGGCTGCGAATAGCTGAGACAGAGGAAGGTTGACGACGGAGGAGGAGACTCTGTCCCTTAACCCAATCAGATTTCACCGGTGAGGCTTTGAGCATAGTGGCAGTGCTTGACGCCATTGTTGCTACTTGCTAGTATCTTCGAGTGAGAGCTTAAAACGCTTGTAACGCACTACTATAAACAATCGTGCGTTTCAGTGGTTTAATATATAGAGACTCAAGTGACATACAAAGATTGGATAATTGAGGTTCTCGTGAGCCGGCTGACGAGGATTTGCCACGTGGATGATAATATTTCTGAATGAAAAGACTTCAACCATATGAATAAAAAAACCTATCAGAGTTATCAAATTAAACCTTTTTTTATATTTTAGTTATAGATAATCCGAGCATAATTAGCTCATACTAAATCCGAAATTTTCAAATTAATTTATTTATATTCTATAAAATAATCGAATATTTTTTCCACATGTTCGTTCACTTGAAATCGAAAAATTCCAACAAAATTCGTCCAAAGAAATATAAATAACAAAAATTACAATGAGAGATTAGTTTGAGAGGTGGTGATGAGTTCTCACAGGTTTTTAAGTCTGAGGTTATGTCTGGAGATTATCATCAGATATTGTGAAGTCTACATCAACGGTCCATGGCTTGCCATGTCAACTCCTGCGTTACTTTTCGCGCCACGTGGCGAAGATTGGGAGCAGCTTACTAGTGGACTCTTTAACCATTGGGTTTGGACTGGACCAGCGACTTTCAAAAAGTATTAAATTAAAACTTAAAGAATTTTCTTTAAAATATTATTTTTATTTTATATCATTTAATTTTTTTTTGAAATATTTCATCTCTTTATTATAATTTTACTTTATGTATTTTTCCAATTATTTTTTTTTTACTTTCATAAAGCATGCTTCAAAAGATAGTCTTTTCTTTCTTGACCAAAAAAAACAAAATATAGTGTTTTAATTCATAATTTTTTTTTTTACATTTTTACTTGTAAATGTTTAATAATTTTTTGTAAAATATTTACGTAAAAATTGGTAAATTTTACATAATATTTTTAAAATTTGAATTTATTATTACAATAGTTTAATACATAAACCCAATCAATTTTGCAATATAATAAAAAGAAGAGAAACCTAAAATGAGGAAATGGGCTAATGTTCATTTAAGCCCAACACAGAGACCACCGTCTTTCACAACGGTCACTTAGTAGTCGAGAGATATATCACTCGTAGTCGTCTTACTTTTGTTTGTGACTGATTCTCATAATTTCAATTTTCTTTTTTTGGAGCGTTTCTCCGAAGATCATCATCATCATCGCCAGGTATTCTTTGTTTTTTTCTTTTTCTTCTTTCAAATTCTTTAGGGTTTTGTCGATTATCCAATTATGAATATCTGCGTTTTTATATCCAAAACCCTCTTTTGATTTCTTCGATTTGGGGAGGTTTTGTTTGTGTTTTCTTAGATTTCGAACCTCCCTTTTCTAGATTCACGACTTTGATTTTGAAATTTTGTCAAGAAATTCCAAAAGCTCTCTCTTTTCTTTTACGATTTTACGCTTCTTGTTTATGGAAATTAAAAAAAAAAACCCTCGTTTAGATCTGATTTTTGAGGGGTTTTACTTTCGTGATTTTCCTAAAATTTGTAATTCAGATTCAGAATTTCAATTGATTTCTTTTTATCGCTAATCTAAAAAAAAAACCTCTTTTGTCTTAGGGTTTCTTATTTCACGTTTCTGAAAGATTCTAGTTCTTGTTTGGGTTTCTAACATGGGTCATGTTTTTCGTTTATCTGGATTAGAAACCCTATTATCGATTCTCTGATTTCATTTTAAACGAACGAATTTCAAAAAAGTTTTATGTTTTCTTCAAACCCAAAAGAAAGGGACCACACATTATATGATTGTGTCTGTCCGGTTTCTAACTTGGGAAAATTGTCCCCATGTTGCCTAAGTAAGACAGCCAAGCTGTGATTAAACACTGTAAGTCTTGTCAAATTATATTCAAATGTTGGATAGTTGAATCGTAAGACTGGCAAGCTGTGATTAAACACTGTAAGTCTTGCCAAGTTATGTTCAAATATCGGATAATTGAATCGTAAGACAGACAAGCTGTGATTAAACACCGTAAGTCTTGTCAAATTATGTTCAAATATAGGATAATTGAATCGTAAGGATGGCAAGCTGTGATTAAACACTGTAAGTCTTGTCTAATTATGCTCAAAGATTGGATAATTGAATCGTAAGACTGGCAAGCTGTGATTAAACACTGTAAGTCTTGTCAAGTTATTGTTCAAAGATCAAAGATTCAGTGATCTGCATAAAATCTCAATGATCTGCTTATTGATGGGGATAACTTGTCTTTCATAAGACTCAAAGATTGGATAATGTAGTTAATCCTCTGTGCCTACTTCTTGAAGCTCTTCCTGTTAGCGAAGGTACATCATTGTGCAACGCTTGATAGGTCGAACACGAAAGAGAAAGATAGAGATGAGGCACTAAAGGCACATCATTATACATCTCACTGAGATATGATATTCAATAATGCTGGCTGGGCAGCACGAAAAAGTAAGCAAGCTGTGAGACTTGTGAAACAGTTCTATATATTGCTGGCTGGGCAGCACGAAATATTTAATGCAAGCATCATTTTGATTGAAATCTGTAAGTCTTGTGTAATTATATTAGACAAGCATCTTTTTGATTGAAATCTGTAAGTCTTGTGTTATTATGTAAGCCAAGCAGATTTTGATTGAAATCTGTAAGACTTGTCTAATTTAAGGCAAGCATCATTTTGATTGAAATCCGTAAGTCTTGTATGTAAGCCAAACAGATTTTGATTGAAATATGCAAGTCTTGTCTAATTAAGACAAGCAAGATATGATTGAAATCCGTAAGTCTTGTCTAATCGTCTATATATTGCTGGCTGGGCAGCATAAATATAAAATTCAAGTTTCTGCATAGAACTGCCTTCATTAAGGCTTTTCTAATTCAATGATCTGCAAATTGTTGGAGAATAAATGTTCTTTAATAGAACTCGATGATCTGCTTATTAATGGAGAATAAATGTTCTTTAATAGAACTCAATGATCTGCAAATTAGCGGGGAGAAACTCAATGATCTGCTTTAAGACTCAATGATCTGCAAATTGATGGGGATAAATTGTCTTTTATAAGACTTGTCTATTGATGTCCGAATGAGGAATTCTCTTGTATGGATTGGCAAGCTGTGATCAACACTGTAAGACTTGTCAAACAGTTCTATATATTGCTGGCTGGGCAGCGTGATAAAAACTCAATGATCTGCAAACATTCAATGATCTGCAGACATTCAATATTCTGCATGTCTAATGATGACTGATCGGAAAATGCATAAAAACATGGAGTTAATCCTCTCTGCCTAGCTCTTGAAGCTCTTCCTGTTAGCGAAGGCACATCATTGTGCAACGCTTGATGGGTCGAGGCTCGAGCAAGGCGCTAAAGAGGTAAATGATCTGCTTATTAAAACTCAATGATCTGCTTATAAGATGGAGAAACATTCAATAATCTGCAAATTGATGGACGAAAAAGCAAGAAGCAAGCATGCTGTGATTAACACTATAAGACTGTCAAACAGTTCTATATATTGTTGGTTGGGCAGCGTGATAAAAACTCAATGATCTGCAAACATTCAATGATCTGCAGGCATTCAATATTCTGCATGTCTAATGATGACTGATCGGAAAATGCATAAAAACATGTAGTTAATCCTCTCTGTCTAGCTCTTCCTGTTAGCGAAGGCACTTCATTGTGCAACGCTTGATGGGTCGAGGCTCAAGAAAGGCGCTAAAGAGGTAAATGATCTGCTTATAAGATGGAGAAACATTCAATAATCTGCAAATTGATGGACGAAAAAGCAAGAAGCAAGCAAGCTGTGATTAACACTATAAGACTTGCCATACAATTCTATATATTGCTGGCTGGGCAGCGTGATAAAAACTTCAAGTTTCTGCATAGATTTGCCTTCATTAAGGCTTTTCTAATGATGATGTCCTGAAAAGGATAAATTCAATTACCTGCTTGAAAACTCAATGATCTGCTTTGAAACTCAATGATCTGCATGTTAATGGGGATACATTGTCTTTTTATAAGACTTGCATAAAACATGTAGTTAATCCTTTGTGCCTAGCTCTTGAAGCTCTTCTTGTTAGCGAAGGCACATCATTGTGCAACGCTTGATGGGTCGATGCTCGAGCAAGGCGCTAAATAGAAAGAGAGAGATGAGAGAAAGAAAGTATTTTTATCCTATATAAAAATACTCAGATCTCTGCATACTACAAGAATCTGACGTCTTAGTGCTCGGCAGGGAACGCCCTGTTAGGTAAGAATGAGGTATGTATTTCATCTCCAACTAGTTTGTACTTGTATCAGTTGTTTCTTATTACCATATGTTACATCAAACTAGCTTAATGTTTGATTTTGGCGTTGAACTTGTGGTAAGTTTGTTTGTTATGTACATCTCTTAGTCTTTAAAAACGAAATCAATTTTTACTTGTCTCATTGTCTTCTAACCACATCTTTTAGGGACTCATTCTTAATAGGGATACTGCAGAAAATCTTGTTTGCGGATTAGATCTTTTTTTGCTTGGATCAGGTGAATATCCCTTCCCTCTTTTAAACCTATTTATGATCTTTCCAAGCATTTTCCTTGACGATGTCATTGAGAAGTTGAAGGCTTTAAACCCTAAGGTACAATGCTTTTTTTTTTTTTTTTTTTATATCTTATGCATCATTTGCTATTTATCTGAATATGATCCTGGTTTGAACTATGTTTTACAACAGATCCTTAAGAAAAGAATTAGTGGAGCCTCTCACATTTTCTTGGAAACTGATCATTGGCTTGGACATATGTGATGTTGCTTTTCTATTCCTAACAGGTCACAGTTTCTAACCATATGAGAGCTTGTGCTATTTCCAGATACTGAAGACGAATTTTTTAATCAGCAAAGGTTGATAGAAAGAATCCGCATGGGGATGACAGATACGGAGGCCTTAGAGTTTGCTCAGAAGGAGCATAAACATAATGTACGTCTTTTCACAGTTAAATCACATTGTGTGTCCTGTTAGTATCTCATGTCTTAGACTCATCTTATTGAACTTTCATCCATATATGTTCTGTCATCATACGCTCAATAGTTTACTACTATGTGTAAAGCATCTATATCTTGCTTGCTGAGAGTCCATAATTGCCAGTGATCTTTGATCTTATTAGAGTATACTTTCCACATCACCGGTCATAAAACTTTCCACATCTTATGCAGCAGGCGTTTCTGGAAGAATTGGCAAACACTATGGCTAATCTCTGTTCTAAAGATCTCCCTAACAGCCCGATGGCGGTGAGAGCTTCTTGCCAACTCACGGTGGTTTAAGACAACTGCCAAAGTAAATGCAGCGATTCTTACTAGCCAGACTGGTCTAAAATGTAAATGCTCAACTTTCTTACTAGTTATGGCTTAAGAAAATGCACTACAGGGTTAAGGCATTTTGGTGACTTCTAGTGCACTACAGGATAACCTGAACGAGTAGGTATGTATTTGAATCATATATCTACTTGTTTATAAGAGAAACATTTTTATTTATTAAGATGTTGTTTCTCTCTCCCCATTTCAGCAATTTCTGTCTCATTATAAGAAAGCTCTCGTTTCTCAGGTACACCCTCTTTCTAGTTTCTATGGTTTCTTGATTTTTAATAAAATTTGTTGTTGGCTCTATTTAATTTTTGTAGTAATAGTAGCATGGCTCTGTTTTTAGTAATAGTAGCATGAGTATGCAAAGGTTTGAGTCAGAGACCAAATGATTATTCTTTGTAATTTTTCTAAGATTTCTTTAGAGAAAGTCGTGAAGACATGTGATTCGTAGCTGGTTCATGAAGTTCATATACTAGGGTGGTAGTTAGAAATTATATATCTCAAGATTATGTAGGCTTCTTTCTGGCTTGATATTAATGTCGTTGTGGCTTATACTCATTAGTGTTTATATTAAATTGTAGGACTTAAGATAAAGCACACTCAGGGACAGTTACCGCTTCACCAATGTCTTTTGTACCATTTGCAGAATCGAAAATTTGAAAATTTGTTTATGTGAATCTGTGAATTTATATGCAGAAAACATGAGGAAGCTATCATGAATTTGGGGAAGATGCTGGATGTATAGGAAATTCAACTTCTTTGCAAGCATGTAAGTATTGGACTCGTGATCATAAATCTTATATGTTTCTCAAATCATGACACCTTCTGTGGCAGTGGTTGTGAGTATTTTTTTTTTTTTTTGAACACGATGGTCTGTGAGTTTATGTTTTGTTTTCTCCGCTTTCAATATCATACGGTATTGCTTATGTTTTAATTGATCATAGTATTGTTGCTTGCGTTTTAATTGTGTCTGATTCTTAATTAACCAGGAAATTTAGCCAATTTTGATGAGTTAAATCTTGTTTCTAATATTATAGTGTTAATTGTTCCTTTGTAGGAAAATTATGGCATTTTGGTGACTTGTAGTACACAACAGAATTGGCTAAACTAGTAGGTATGTTTTTTCTTGACTTTAGTCATAAAGGGTTTGTATCAAATTTGCAGGAATCAGTGTAATCATCTCCCTAAGTCCACATGACGCTAAAAGACTAGCTTATCGACTTTTTTGAAATTAATCAAAGGTATTGCCTATAAACAATTTTTCTTGAGATTTTTTTTCTAACCTTTGTTAGAATTTGGAGCCTTTAATATGTTGAAGTAAAGCATAACTATGCAAGAACTCGTGATGAAAATTCTGCTATGTTCTCAAGTCAGGGCATTTTTGGTGGCAGTGGTATGTCCATGAATGATTTATCTTAGGTACATGTTCTTTTTCTCTGCTTTCTATATCGTAATATTGTTGCTTGCATTTTAATTGTAGTGGTAGGTAGTGTCTGATTCTTAATCTAGAAAATTCAGCCAATTTTGATGAGGTAAAATTTGTTTCTCCTCATTCAAAAGTTGCGACTCATATTGAAATCTCAAGATTTCTCAACATCGTACGGTTTGTTCTTGGTTTTGCTCAATAAGAGTTTGTATCAAATTTGCAGGAATCAATGTTATCCTCTCCCCAAGTCCATGTGAGGCTAAGGGATTACTGACTTTGTCATCCATTTCTTGTATAAAAGCTTATCGACCTCTTTCAAATCAAAGGTATTGCCTATAATCAATATTATTGCCTTCGTTAAATTTCAAGCCCTTTGATCTGTTGAAGTAAAGCATAACCATATGATTCTTTTATCAAAGGTAGGAGGTGGAGCCAAACCAAATTTTCAGAGATTTTCATCTTCAGAAAAGCGAAGGTTTGGTCTTTCTAACATTTGACTTGGTTTTTTTAGGTTGATTGTTTGCTTTAGGATGATAGAAAAACACATCTTTAATGCTAACACTAAAACAAACAAAAACACATACACAAGAAGGCGAACACATACACTAAGCGCAAACATAAACATAAACGCATATAGACAAAAGTGAACATAAACACTAACTGCAATCGTAAACATAAACTAACAAAAACGAGAAATACAAATGCCTAAGACAAACGCAAACGTAAAATTCAAACCTAAAAGTTCAAATGCAAATACTAATGTGAACATGACTCAATATTTCATTTCCTATTTGCTTCGATTCAGTTCGGCTAAAAATCGTACAAACGGTTCCTACTATAACTAGTTATTTCGGTTTTCTACTAGCAGCTTTAACTATAACCTCAGTTCTATTTATTGGTCTAAGCAAAATACGACTTATTGAGTTTTAGGTTTCTAAATTGATTTTCGTAATATTTTGCTTAGTTAAGTTTGGTTAGCTATTAAATTAGGGAATATTGAGTTAAGTTTATTTTTATTAAATCGTTTGTTATAAATCCACTATTATTAAACGCTTTCTGACACGCGTCCCGAGGCAAGTTCCCAAGTTCAGATTTAGATCCCGTTTCTCCTTCTTCAATCCGGCGACCCCGACGGCCTCTTCGCCTTGTGTGGGTGAAGGTTAGCTCTTCCTGTCGGCGGGATGCCGTCTGTTAAGGATCCAAGCTGTCTTCCCTCTAAAGCATCCTCTCCCAAGCGGATGCAGCTTACTGTGTAGACCACTCAGCTTTGCAAAATCTTAGATTTGGCTCCCAGAATCTCCGAACCTTCTCACTAGATCCCGTAAACTAGTGAAGAACCATTTCACCCCAGTGGTGACGATCGTTGGTCATCTTTTCAATAGATTTGTCGAGTACCGACTTATCTCCTCAAACTCAATTCTTCTCCATGTCTTGCAAGTTCTCGTACGCGGAAAAAAAGGAGTTGCGGTTGCAAATCTTCCCCCAAAGATCCTAAGAGTCAAAGTCCCAGCCTTTGGTAGCACCGAGCTTAGAAGGAAGCATTCGCTTACCATCATTGGTCGACTTACCAACCCTGCAACTCAGCGTACTTGGTTAATGATCCCTTGCTTGGCTGATTTATGGAAGTCTTTGTCTCGATCCATTGGAGCAGATCTGGGGCAATGACGCCTCCTATTACAATTAGCGAACGAGTAAGACCTCCTCAAAGTTCTAGAAAACCAACCTTTCCACTTTGCAAGATAGATGGTCATCAACCAAAGGTGGGAACCAACAACGTCAAGCTCCTTCCTATCATTCTAGATCGATGCGCAAGGCATCCATGTTCATCTTTGATCGGAAGAAATCCTCTATAGCGTGGTGAAGGGAGTGAGATACTTTGTAAGGGTATAGAGATCATGACAACCTATGCGAGAATCAGAGTTATGGTGAATGGATTTAAACCTATGGTGAAGCAAACTTGCATGGATTTTGAAGATGCAAACGAAGCATTAGTGGATTTGGTATATGATAAACTGGAGAAGCACTGCCAAAGTTACAACATGTTAAATCATGAGGGCAAAGACTGCCTAAGCCAGCTCTCGCATGCAGGACAAAAAAACTGCATTATCCCCTCCTATTCCACCAAGAAGGGATCCTCGGGAGGAATACCCACCTAGAAGGAGGTGGGAGAACATTATTACCCAATCTAGGGATTACCCCCACATGGTGGAAATGATCACAAAAAAAGATGCAGCCCAGGCGCTCTAAAAGTTATGATCATCGAGGCTGGTCAGCGCAAGGTTTTAGAACTCGGGTTGGGTTCGGGTTTTTCAGATCTAGAAGTTTAGGATCCATTCGGATATTTTGAGATTTCGGGTCTGGTTCGGTTCGGTGTTCGGGTTTATTCAAATATTCAAAAATCAAAATTTTGTATGCAAATCTATCAAATTACTTGAAAATTTCAAAAACTCCCAAAACAACACCAGTATTTTTATTTGAATATATCCAAAAGTAACCAAAATACACAAAATAGCCAAAATACCCGAAAAATCCGAATATTTTTCTATATATAAGTACAAAAATTATTAATATATCATTAATATATACTTATATTTGAAATATGTTCGGGTATCTGTTCGGGTCGGGTCCAGGTTCGGGTTTTTCGGTTTTGATGTTTAGGATCCGTTCGGATATTTGAAAATTTCGAGTTCGGGTTCGGATCAAGTTTTTTGGGTCGGGTTTGGGTCGGTTTCTCGGGTTCGGGTATTATGCCGAGACTTGTAATGATCCAATACGTCAAATGTGCCGATCCTACTGAAAATACACAAAATTGCCAAAATACCCAAAAAAATCCGAATATTTTTCTATATATAAGTATAAATATTACTAATATAACATTAATATATACTTATATTTGAAGTATGTTAGGGTACCTGTTCGGGTCGGGTCCGGGTTCGGGTTTTTTGGTTTTGAAGTTTAGGATCCGTTCGGGTATTTGAAAATTTCGAGTTCGGGTTCGGATCAGGTTTTTTGGGTCGGGTTTAGGTCGGTTTCTCGGGTTCGGGTATTATGCCGAGACCTATAATGATCCAATACGTCAAATGTGCCGATCCTACTGAAAGTGCATCTAGAAAAGAAATGTATTGTCAAGCAGAGGAGCATGGACATGTGGAGAAAACAACATGACAAATGGTTAGAGCCACCTTACGTGCCTCAATTGAAGAGCAGAGATCTGCTTCCCCAAAGAATGTGATTTCTGAAGAGAGGATCCCAACCTCCCTTAGATTGGGACCAGCGATGGCTCCTATAGTCATCCCCAAACCAAATAAGCGATTCACTTCTAGGAAGAAGCTTGGGAGACCTCCAGGAAAGGGTAAAACTAATTAAAAACCTCCTGGAAGCTTTCGTATTCCATCAACATGCCCATCTAAGAAGAGAAGGCTCCTCAAACCTCAACCATCCCCAAGAAGAAAGTTAAACATGGAAAACCTTGATGAAGCACCAGCTCTTGTCAAAGGGAGTTCCCAAGGGCAAAGCTGTCAATCCCACACTCTCATGGAGAATGGGATATCAGGATATCTCTTCCTGCCTCTTCTAAGGAAAAATCTCTACACTATAAGGATCCGTTAGATTTTCGGACCATTCCAACCAGTCGGACGTAAAGGTAGCGTGTTGGAACTGTCAAGGGATGAAGAACCCTATGACAGTCAGACGTTTCAAGGAGCTTAACCGTAAGATCTCCCCATATATATTATTCCTCATGGAAACGAAGAATGACGATACCTACATTCTAGATTGGATGAAATATGAGCACAATGCATGAGTCTCCCCTTAGAGACAGAGGCGGTGGATTAACACTTTTTAAGAAGCAAGATTTTCAATTAGAGGTACTTACGACTTGTCCCAACTATTTTTATACTAAAGTCTCGATGAAAGGCAATTCCTATGCCACTTTCTTATATAGTGAGTCTGATCAGACAAAAAAAAAAGACATCTTTGGGGTTTCTTGAAGGACATCTTTATGTCTAGAGATATTGCTTGGTTTATTTTATGGAGACTTTTTTGATGAAATTATTAATAACTCGGAGAAGGCAAGTGGTCCTGCTAGGGCAAAATGATATTTTGTTGATTTAAGGTCTTTTATTTTTGAGTGTGAACTATTTGACCTGAAGCATTTAGGAGACCCACGGTCTTGGCGAGGGTCAAACACACTCATATTGTGAGATGCAGATTGGATAGATCCATGGCCAATTCTGCTTGGTTTGAGATGTTTCCCTCTAGAAGAACATAGTACATGCATTTTGAAGGATCAAACCATAGACCAATCATCAATCATCACCTCCTTTGCAAAAGAAAGGAAAAAGAAGAGATGATTGTTTAGGTATGATAGAAGATTGAAGAATAACCTCGAAGTAAAGGAACTGGTAAGGGAGTGCTGGATAAAGGATCGCCGACTACCAATCCGATAAAGAATATCCACCAACTGTAGAGAGCCATTGTCAGATGAAGTAAAGTGAAGTACATTAATAGCCAAAAGAAGATTGAAAGGCTGAGATCAGAATTGGAACATGCCATGGTAAGCCCTGTGTCAAATGAGGATCTCCTCTCAAAATCAACTTTGAGCTGAAGGAAGTGTATATACTAGAGGAAGATTTTTAGATGCATCCAAGTAGAAACCTGTGATTCAGCTTGGGAGATAGAAACACAGGTTATTTTCAGGTCGTAACCAGGAAAAGAAAGGCTATCAACAATATCCATGTGATAGAAAATGAAGCTGGAGCCTCAATTTTCGAAGACAAGCTTATTGTTGAGGTCATTGCTGCATATTTTCGGAGTATGTACACTACTGTTGGAGCTAATGAAGACACGACTAAGAGTTTTGTGAAGGAAGATCTCATCCCATTGGTCTCTGAGGAGAACAAGAAATTGATGATTGTCTTGCCATCTGAGAAGGAGGTTCAGGAGGCTATTTTTGCAATCCACCCAAATAAAGCTACTATTTGGGCCTGATAGCTTCTCTGCCAGCTTCTTTCAATCTAATATGGTCCCTCTATCATTAAAGAGATCCATGAGTTTTTCAGTTCTGGAGTAACGCCAAGGTCCAAGGCCCAAAAACTGTTTCGGATTACAGACCTATTGCCTTATGTAATATGTATTACAAGACTATTTCCAAGATTCTTACCAGAAGGCTCTAACCAATCCGCTTTTGTCCTAGGTAGAGCCAATCTCAGAAAACGTGCTTATTACTCGTGAGGTGCTTCATTACCTTAATAAGTCAAGGGCCAAAAAGAATTATTCTATTGCAGTTAAAATAGACATATTTGAGGCGTATAACATATTGGAGTGGTATTTCATTGAACCGGTCTTGAGGAGACTTGGTTTCCATGATAAGTGGGTCCGCTGGACCATGTTGTGCATCTCCACGGTATCCTACACATTCTTAGTCAATGGGGCTCGTAGAAGAGCAGTCCTTCATTCTCAGGGAGACAGACAGAGAGACCCACTTTCACCTTATATCTTCATTCTTTGTACTGAGGTACTCTCAGGGTTATGTACAAAAGCACATGAGAATTGTTATCTTCATGGTTTAAGAGTGTCCAAGCGAGATCCAAGTATCAATCACCTCTTATTCGCTGATGATACTATGTTCTTTTGCAAGACAAATGATAAGGCATATCTGGCCCTCAAGTATATTCTCCGGAAGTATGAGTCAACATCTAGTCAAAAGATTAATGGACATAAATCTTCCATAAGTTTCTCTAGAAAGACTCCAGATTCTAGAAGACAAAGAGCTAAGGATCTACTTCGGATTGAGAAAGAAGGTGGTATTGGTAAATATCTTGGCGTAGCTGAATTATTTGGACACAAGGATGCTGGTATATTAGGTTTCCTCGACCTACAACAATTCAATGTCGCTCTCGTAACTAAACTTAGTTGGAGAATCATCAATAAACAGTCAAGTCTCTTGACCAAGATCTTACCAAGAAAGTATTGGCATGCATTTAATTTCATGAAGGTGAGTTGCTCCTAGACTGCCTCCCACGGATGGAGAAGCATCCTCAGTGGTAGGGATCTTCTAACCAATAACCTGGGATGGTCCTTAGGTAATGGTGAATCCATTAATGCCTGGTAGCATGCTTAGATTCTTGGTCCAACTTTGAGCCAACTTGCTGTACTAGCGCCAAAGGAGACACAAAATCGTTGCGTCATGGATATTGGGACGAAAATAAGGTTGAAGAACGTTCTCACCCTAAAGCCAAATCTCCTTGGAGTACCCAATAAAAGGGTCTGGATATATTCCCTTAATGAAGAGTACAACCAAGTATAGTTACCTCCGGTATCTCATGTGGCAACAAGATGGTTTGCTTACCTTCGGTGGGTCTCTCTACCTCCTCTCTGTTTCTCTGGCTTTGTTGGAACCTTCGGATAACCAAGAATCATAAGATATTTTGAGCATCGAAGCTTTTCTGATGTATAAACCGTTCTCAAGGCAACTAAGGAAGCAGTGGAATGGCAAGCTGCTCAACCTTAGCCCCACATACCTCTTCAGATCCATCCTAAAGGCAACATCTCCATGAAACCATCAAGAACTGCAGATAATGGATTAACTATCCTCGGAGCAGATGCAACTTGGAGAAAAGACCTCAAGGCGGCTGGACTTGGATGGACATTCTCTCCCTTCTCAGGTGATCTACCCAATCGTCACTCTGCTCTTTGCAACAATGTTTCATTGCCCTTAATGGCGGAGGCACTAGCGATGCGTGCAACTCTTGACAATGGCAAGGATCCTCATGACCTGTAACTTAATCGTAGAATCGGACTGTAGTGTGTTGGTCAATGCGATTAACACTAAGGCCATGAATGGATGCTGTTTTCTAATTCAGTTTTTGGATTTGGATTTTAGATTTTAGTTTTAGATTTTTTAATTAGATTTTTGTTTTAAAAACCCCAAAACAGTGGTTTTTGGTTTTTGAGAAAAAATAACATAGATGGAGTAAAAACTAGATTCCCTAAATTATAGGAGAACTAAAAATCTAAAATCGTGAATGGGAGATTACAACAAAAATGTTTTCCTAAATTCGGAAACCAAAATTTTAAAATCTTGATTGGTATGGTTGAAAATTTCCTAAAATCTTGATCTAGAACCAGTACGTTGAAAACCTTGCTTCATGACCGTAAATTAGATCATCGGTAAAGGCGGAGTAGCTCTTTCTTAATTTGAAATGGTCTGGTTGAAAACCTTGCTTCATGATTTGCATGTTTCTTCTCCAATTCTAATTCTTTTTTCGGACAGTACAATTGCTATATACATTGCTACTAATCCGGTTTTCCATGAGAAAACCAAACACATTAAATTGGATTGTCATAGAGTCCGTGAAAGGTTGGATAAAGTGCTTCTAAAGATGTTTCATGTGCAGACTAATGATCAAGTGGCAGATTTTACTACACCATTATTCCCTCATCAATTTGAACATCTTAAGCCCAAGATGCGTC